TGAACGAGGATCAGAAACAGTTCTTGAAACGAGTGTTTCTTGCGAGAAGCAGATCTCGAGGATTGTCAGTGACATGGATCTTGAAGGAATTGAAGACGGGTGAGTTTATATTTGAAACTCTCTATAAAATGGGTTTGTTAACTTGACAAAATGTTGCCAGATTCCAAATTTTGTTTTTCCATTTGATCAGTTCATTTAAGCTAGAGAGGGTGGAGTTTTTCCTCGGAAGTGTCATAAACGCGATTGTAAGCCAAGCGATGTTCTTACTAAAAGAGAGAGGTCTCCAGCTGATTCGTGACATTCCTGAAGAGATCAAATCTATAGCTGTTTATGGAGACCAGACAAGGATTCAACAGCTCCTGGCTGAGTTTCTGCTGAGTATAATCCGGTATGCACCATCTCAAGAGTGGGTAGAGATCCATCTAAACCAAGTTTCAAAGCAAATGGCTGATGGATTCTCCGCTATCCGCACAGAATTCAGGTACATTTCATTGTTCTCACTGTTGTCTCCCAATTCGGTTTTTGGTTCCATATTTCTCGGTTTAGGAAGACTACGAATTCGAATTGGTGAGTTACGAATTTACTTTCGGCGTTTTAACAAAATATATTAACTTACAGGATTTTCAAAGAAAATGAGGTTTTAATCGATTCAGTTAATGTTTTAATTTGATGTTGTTTTTGTTATTGTTTGTTCGGATAAAGAATGGTTTAGGGTGGCAGTTTTTGTTCGGTAAAGTGGCAACTTGTGGACAGAACCATAGGTTGTGTTGTTTTCAAACAGATGAAAACCAGCTCAAAAGTGTTAAAACTTTGGTTTCACGTTTTGGTTTCTCTGTATATGTCTTTATTTTGCGGTTTCAGAATGGCGTGCCCAGGTGAAGGTTTGCCTCCAGAGCTGGTCCGAGACATGTTCCATAGCAGCAGGTGGACGAGCCCTGAAGGGTTAGGTCTAAGCGTATGTCGAAAGATTCTAAAGCTAATGAATGGTGAGGTTCAATACATCCGAGAGTCAGAACGGTCCTATTTCCTCATCATTCTCGAACTCCCCGTTCCTCTGAAACGCGCTTTATCAACCGCTAGCGGCAGCGGCGACATGATGTTGATGATGCCATAGTAGTCACGCATATATTGGCAACGAGAGTTTGTATCATTGTATGTGTATGTGTGTGTGAGTCTAACGACACCGGAGGAAGATAGAGAGTTTTTTTGTTTCCGGTGAGATTAGTAGAGAAGAGGAAGGATATTGTTTGCGTTTGGCTCGCCGGAAAAGAAAAATGTAACTGTAGTTATAGAGTCTGCAAGACTTGTTTTCTTTTGTTTGCCCCGTGTATATTGATAACACCGAGAGAGGGAAAAGAAGGAGAAAAGAAGAGAGATATTGATCGATTGATCAATCCATTTTAATTGTTACTTGTTATTTCAAACAAAACTCAAGGCCATGGCCGGAGCTTATCTCGGCGGCGACCGTATTTTTGCAAAGAAAACTTGTCCGAAAAAAAGGCGTTACAAATGATAACATGAATTTCTTCCTTTTCCACGATGAATAGTAGTATATGGAATTATGAATTACGGGAAAATAAGAAGATAAATGATACACTTAACATAATTATGCTCGTTTGAAGTTAATATTATCATAGATTCAAAACTAACGCTTAAGAATTTTTACTCATTCTTGTTAAAAGTAAATTCAAATATGAGATTCTTATAGAAGAAATCATTTTATTCACAGGTTTCTTTCTTCCCCTTCCACTAGTCAAATAAAGAAATGATGGTGAAATACTCAAGAGGTTTACTAAACTTACTATTACTACTAGAGTGGGTATAATGAAAATGATAGTGGGGATTTCGCATTGAATGTGTCTACCAAATCTAAAGTAGTTGAGAAGCTCTAAATGTAAAAGAGAGTAGAGGATATTCTTAAATTAATCACATCCTCACCTTCCCCTCTCCTGATGATGATAGGTTTTTCGAACTAGCTATATAGTTTTCATTTTTTTGCACGTTAGCCTATAAGCTGTACACAATATTGAAATGGTAAACTTGACGAACATGGAATTAAATAAAGGGTGACAGGTTATGATAGGAATAGGAGATTAATATGAAAAGAGGCACTTGTGTGTCCCTCATTAATTGCTTCGTAGAAAAAATTTGAACATGAGAACATGCGGAGAAACGCGTTGTAAGGACAGAAGAGGTTCAAAGCCCCCTCTCAACCATATCTCATAAATGCTTTTACGATCTCTACTTAGTATATATAGTGTTAGTAGCTAGTCAAGTGAGCTATTATAACAATTGTGTACTGGTAGAAAACAAGATACTAGAACAAATATCAAAGATATGATC